TGCTGAGCTAGGTACATGCATGTGGACAGGGTGCTGCTTCTGCGGCTCTCTGGGTGGGTTCGAACTGCCAACCTTTAGGCTAGCTGTGGAGCACAAACCATTTCTATCACCCAGGAGCCCAATAGGGGTCACATGAGCTGTTAAAGTCAGGATGCCAGCCAGCCTTAGGGAGGAGAGGAGGCGTTTGTGTGTGGTCTCCACAGAAAGTACATGCTGGGATGAGGGTCAGAAGTCTGAGTGGCAGGGTTCTACAGGAGAAAAGGCTTAGAAGTGGGCATTATGAGAAAAGCTGGGAAAACAGGGGCCATGCTGCCTGAAATCACTGGGTACATGCAGGTCAAAGGAGGGAGAGGCAGAAAAGGCAGGCACAAGACCACAGAGAAACTTGTTTGCTGAAGAGGAGTGTGAGTGCTATTTCGTAGGTAAGAGGGAGCTATCGACTGTTTCTGAGCAGAGGATGGATGAGCTCAGTCGGAATGAGGAGGTGTTACTCTGCAGGAACTGGGGGTGGAAGGAAACATGGAGACCTGTCCCTTCTATTACATCAGGGTTTCACGCTGCCCAAGCTGGGCCATTTCCTTAGGAACCTTCGGCCATAGACATCTCAGAGCCACCCGCTTCCTCGAAAGTGACAGGGGAGAGAGCAGGTTAGCCTGACTTAGGCTTGGCTGTTAGAAACCAGAATCTAACTCCCCAGCAGGTGCCAGGGGAAATAAGGGTAATATTTGAGCATCAAAGTGATTGCTTTTCAACGAGTAAAACCAAGACTTGGGAAGGAAGGTAGGCATGTCTCCGAGACTCAGAAGGCTCCGGGTTTCTGGGAACGTGGGCCAGGTCTGGGGAGGGAGCGCTGAGCTGGTGTGGTTAGCATAGGATCAGCTGTCCCATGTCCATGTCGAGATCTGTCCTGTGTTAGAAGTGGGGAGGGAGGAGAGGAAGCGCTTCTGCTCCGCCCCTTCCTCAAAGGCTTTTCCTAATGAAATGTGATCTGTCAGCTGCTCTGAATATTACTTTCCTGGTTTGCTGCAAGGAGCCTTCTCTTGTTGTCTCAGTGCCACACAAGTTAGGGACCGTCTCACACTAACCTGGAGCTGTCTGGACCCTTGAATGATTGTTTAGGGTAGAAGTGGCTCTCCATACTGCTCTCCTCGGCCACTTACGGAGACTGTGGTGGGCGACAATGAGATGTCCTGTTTCCCCCAGACAAGGGCACAGGCCTCCTGGGTCTGGTTCTCCAGCCTAGGGTCTGTGTTTCCAGAATTGGCCACGGGCTTCCTGAGCACTTAGGAAGTGGTGAGGCCTAGAAGCTTCCTTAAAACCCTCATTTTTCAGCCCAAAGCAGAATGTGAGGAGAGATTATATCTTTGTGAATAAAAGGGAACACTTGAGATCTAAACCCTTAACTAGAACCCTCTGGAAGCTCAATTAGGAGCTTCAGAGTCCAGAACTAGATAGTGGATAGAGTTCACAAAACTTCTTTACTGTTTAGCATATGCCCCTGCTTGGGGGGTGGGGGGTGGAAATTTTAGTGTCAGTTTTCCTGAGACAGTCCTATGATTAGAGGTGTTCAGGGGTCTCCCGAGGGTAGCTGGGGAGGAACCTTTAACTCAGACAGAGTGGGGACATCATGGACGAGTGTCACAGATCTGATGGTAACAATTTGACAGTTACTGTTGGCACTGGGAGGAAGATGTACACTCTCCTCCTGTCCTATTCACTGTCTCTGCCAACCTGCTGGGAGGGTCAGCTATGAATCGGTTCTGATTCAACGATATGGAACAACAATAATGATTGTAAGGGAGTTCTGGTGGCCCAGTGGGTGAGAAGTTGTGCTGCCAATCCAAAGGCAGGCAGTATGAATCCGCTAACTGCTCCTGGGAGAAAGATGGTCAATCCTCTCCTGTGAGATTTACAGCCCATGAAAACCCACGGGAGGGTCATAACAACAACAGCAGCAATGACAACAGTGTTCGTACAGTGAAAGAGGTTGACACACGGGGGTACAAACCAAAAAGGCTGCCAGTTCAAGACTAACCTATCCTTCTTGGAAGAATGGCCTGACAATGTAGTTCTAAAACCCAGCCATTGAAGGCCCTACAAGGCATTTAGTTATGTTCTGGTGCAAAGTATAGTAGAGATGGGGTTGGCTCAATAGCAAGTGGCCATCAACAAATGAATGGATGGGAAAACTATGAGACATTTGTTGTTGTTTTTATGTGTCATCGAGTCGCTAGAGACTCATAGTAACCCTATGTACAAGAGCCCTAAATGCCGTTCTATCCTGTGCCAACCTCCCTGTCTCAAACACATTCATTCCCACCACCCCACTCACAGAATCGATCTATCTCATCGAGGGTCTTCCTCTCCTGCGCTGTCCCTCCACTCTCCCAAACATGATGTCCCTCTCCAAGAACCAGTCCCTCCTTGCAACATGCCCAAAGTATGTCAGACGAAGCTTCAGAATCCTTGACTCCAAGGAGCGTTCCAGCTTCACCTTCTCCAGGACAAGCCTGGTAAATTTACACAGTGAAATATTATACAGCATTAAAAATAATGAACTTGTAAAACCTTATAGAACTTGGAGGACCCTGGAAGACATTATGCTGAGTAAAATATCTCAGTCACCAAAGGACAGATACTGTATGACATTGCTGCTATTAAATAGGACAGTCATGGGAGTGTTAGGGAGAGAAAAAGAGTGGATAGTTAACAAACACGGCTTTAGATCAGATCAGGGGAAGAACCGTTCGAAAGGAATATACGATTAGGCATCATACATAGGACAAAAATCTGCAACAGTGGGGAGGTCTTGGGGGAGGAGACAGGGGAGGAAGGAAGAAAATGTGCAACAATGAAGACAAAATTAAAGAAATAAAATTTGTGTGTGTGGTTTTCTTAAGGATTAAACAAAGTGAAGCTCATCGTCAGTGACTCAGAATTGACTCATAGCTCCGTGTGACGAGGTCCAGTGACTCATGGGTGCTCACTGGACTTTCAGAAGCTGTAAATCATCCAGAAAGAGATAGCCCAGATATTTTTTAGAGCAGCTGGTAGATTTGTACCATCCAATTTTGGGTTGGCAATGTAGCCTCCTACTGACGAGGCACTAGAACTTCCCCTTTTCAATGTTAGCATAAATCACAACCAAAGTCCACTGCTGTGAAGTTGACTCTGACTGACTCATGATGACCACCATTGTGTTTCCAAGGCTGTAAATCTTGAAGTAAATTGGGAGAGTGCCTGTCGCTGTCCTATAGAGTAGCTAGTGGATTTGAACAACCAATCTTTTGGTTTCCAGGCCAAATATATAGCAACTGTTCAATTGTCATAAGCCCTACAATGTAGGTGGTATCATCACCATTTCACAGATGGGGATATTAGGGTGTAGAGAAGTTCAACTTTCCCAAGATCATGCATCTTCTTAGGAGAAGAGCAGAGATTTGAACCCAGGGTTCTGATATCAGTCATGCTGGAAACAGCACTATCTCACTGAATGGGAGCACAAAGGGCTGCTGGAGAGAGTGGCCTGAGGTGAAGCATTTGGGGACTCTTGCTTTGGGCTATGTGAAAACAGAGAAGGGAGCCAGGGTACAGGATGGGCACAGAAATGTAGAAAAGTCAGTCTTTGTCTTGGTTGTGCTGTCTCCAAACTGCCCTGGGGGCGCCAGGCCCTGGTCAGTGGCTGGGGGCTAAGCTATGTCCTCACCTCTGGGTGCTCAGTGCCAATCACCAATGCCCTCAGGCACCACGTGGGAAGTTCCTGGGGTTTAGGTTGGAAAAAGCAAGAGTTGACTTGTGTCTGTTGGGAGTGGGCTGAGGTTCTTGTGCTATTCTGTGTGGAAGTGCTGGTGTGATGGGGGTACCTGTTCTGTCTTGGGTGGGGGGTAACCCGTACTGTCTTTGTGGAGGGTACTTGTGCTGTCCCGGGTGGGGGGTACCTGTGCTGTCCCAGGATGGGGGGTATGTGTGCTGTCCCGGATGAGGGGGTACCTTTGCTATCCCAGGTGGGTGGTACCTGTGCTGTTCTGGGTGGGGGGTACCTGTGCTGTCTTGGTGGAGGGTACCTGTGCTGTTCCAGGTGGGGGGGTACGTGTGCTGTCCTGGGTGGGGTGGGTACCTTTGCTATCCCAGGTGGGTGGTACCTGTGCTGTCCCGGGTGGGGAGGGTACCTGTGCTGTCCCAGGGGAAAGTGTACCTACTGTCCCAAGTAGGATATACCTGTGCTGCTCAATTTAGGTGGGTCTGTGCTTCTCCAGGTGAGTTGTAAACAGGAGGGTATAATCTGAAATCTGTAAATGTTTTTTATTCAATAAAAGTCATGTGTAACTAGTGATTTACTGAGCATAAGTTCTCACTGTGTGTTTACCTTGTTTATGGGCTACTACTCCCTGTCAGGGACTGTGACATGGCATGAGAAAGAGAGAGCTGCCAGGCTTCCTCAGAAGCACAAACTTCGATGTGGTGAAAACATGCTAAACCGTTCCATACAGAGAGTAAGTACGCGTAAGTCCACGCTTACCTTGATGGGTAATGTGACTCTGGTTACTGCACACAGCCAGGGCCCTTCCGCACACACCCAAGGCAAGCACTGTGCCTGGGCCAGGTACCCAGGATCCTCACACCCGTGGACCTGGGATCAGTTAAGTTAGGGACTGCAAGGCAAACCCCAGAGGGCAAGGAAAAGGGTACATGTATTTACTGAGCACCTACTATGTGCAGAACTGGGACCATTCTTGTCTTAAGCATCCTGTTTATTCCGTACAACAGCCCCGTAAGTGTTCCTCCCACTGTGCAGGAAATTAAACATACCCAGAGACGTGAGCTGACCTGCTGAGGTGCATAGCCCCGAGGAGCTGGGTTTCCACGCAGGCCTGTCTTGTTACCCCCACACTCTCACTAAGGGCTTCTGCCCATGACCACCGCTTCATCCTTTTCACACCCAGCACCCTGCCCATATCCTCCTCCTCCTTACAGGTGAGCCATCCTTTAGCCGCAGGGGGCTATGGAATCCTGGGGTTGATAACTCTGCCCAGAAAGAGAATGCTGTGGGTGCGGGTGGAGTAGATCACCAGGAAGAAGGGTCTGTTGAACTTGAGGACACGGGAGCCCCTTTGTGAACTTCTGAAGACAGCAGAGAGGGCCGTGGCTGCTGCAGCCCGCGTGCCCACCTCGTTCACGTCCAGGATGGCCTTGTGGAAACTCTGAGAGAGAAATTGCAGACGTTACCACCAAGAAGATGGGAGAGGGACTGGGGAAGAGTGGAGGAAACGGAAAATTTTGCACCTAGGTACTGGGCTTTGCAGTCCTTTGAGTTACTTAGTGGGAAAACCACTGCTAGACTTTCTACACTGGGAGAGCTCTTGAGTGGGACGATATAACCACGCTATCTACGTACCCTGTGTTGAGTACCTCTCCTATGCCTAGTGTTTTGTATACTCATCTTGCCTGTCAAAAATATGACTTATTCTCGTTGTATACCATTGAGCCAAAAACTCGGAAGTGACCCTCCAAGGAGTTTTCAGAGACAATTAATTGCCTCTGAAATTATGACTACTTCGTAGTACTACAGTACTGTGTTCATCTTATCCACCAAAACCCAACATCTTTGAGTCAATTCTGATTCTCATGAATCCTGTAGAATAGAGCAGAACTGAGTTATCCAGGGTGAGATTTCTGTGACCGCAGATTGCCTCCCTTCCTCCTGCAGAGAGGCAGGTGGGTTTCAACAACTAGTCTTTCATTTAGCACCTCAACTCTTAACCCATTATGCCACTAACTTTACTTGTAAACAGGAAAATAAATCTAGAGGTTAAGAAACATCCCAATGGCACCAGAAGCAGAAAGAGCATCCAAATTTCCAAATGGAAAGCTTTTTTAAAAAAAAAACAAAACAAAAAGCCTGAACACACAAATCCCTTCCTTCCCTCTAAGAAGTTTTCCTGAAGCAAACATCATCTGCAAGCTTCTTTGGATTCTCCCGCTGCATTCATCACTCTGTTGCTACCATCTAGGAAGACTCCGTTTCCTAGTTTAGCAGGGAGAGTCTTGGAGAGCAAGGATTGGCTGAACATGGGGGTCCCTAGCACTAAGTTTCATGCCCAGAACATGCCTGTGGATGACTGGACACACTTGGGGAGTGAGTGTCCATGGTGACGGGAAGCTCCCATCATCCAACAGTTCGTGAAGAGTTCTCTAGGCCTAGAAGAGCCACTAACTGTAGCTTTACCTTAGACATCTTCAGGTCCATTGCTTCAGTGATGCCGGACAAGTTGGCTCGTTTTGAGAACAATTCCGTGAAGCCCACCTTGGGTAAAATCTGGTCTAATTCATAGAAGCCCGAAATGGAAAACTTGGGGAGATGCAACTCTAACTTCCTGTAGAAATAGGATCTGAAATGTGCATTGGATTAAATGAGTGAATTCACACACAAGCTGGGGATCCCTGCAGAATTGGCTTCCCCTCACTGCTGCTTTGCTGGTTTGCTCCTTTTCACTTCTGTCCCATAGACACCGTTACCTATGCGACCCTCTCACACGAGTGCTCACAGTGGCGTAAGGATATAGAACCCTGTTTATAGAAGCCCATTCCATTTTGAGTCTATCTTTAGCAGTGGTTGTTCTGAGATAGTGCCATGTTCCTGAAGGAAGATCCACCTCTCCCTTTGCAGCTATATTCCATGGTCTTTTGTTGGCATCCAGTGGATTTCACTTAGACCAGTTGATTTGTTGGCCTTGAATTTCCTCTACGACATTTGTGATGTGAATTGACCATTCACATGTGACCTAGCCTTGGATTACGTTCTTCTCTGTCTCTGTAAATGATTGTGGCACTCATAGCCCCAGGGTGCTGTCAGACTTCTTTGCCACTTCCTTGGGTGTATTGATGAAGTAGCCTATACCAGCTTTATCAGGAATGTGAATAGAGTTTCCTGAGATATGGTACAGAGAGCCATGCTCAGAAAGACTGTGCCCTTTAACTCAAGTATATGTAGTGAAGGGGGACTAAGGTCAAGGTAAAGCATGATTTGACTCAAATGTGTGTAGAGAAGGACTAAGTTCAAGGTCAAGTGCTATTTAACTTAATTGTATATAGGAGAGCTCCAAAGTTAAGATCCCAATAGACTTTATCTTTTAATGTGTCTCTTTTCACTAACAAGAAAGATCAAATATTTGGAAAATAGAATACTATTCTGAAGCTTTGACAGACATACTTTGGACATTTTGCAAGGAGGGACTAGTCCTTGGAGAGTGACGTCATGCTTGGGAGAGTAAAGGGACAGAACAAGAGAAGAAGAGCCTCAATGAGATAGATTGATTCAGTGACTAGGGTAATGGGGGTAATGGGTACTGTGTGTCAGAGACAATAAGATTGGATAGGGCAGGGTATAGGGTTGTTGTACCTTGGATAACTATGAGTTGCAAGTGATTCGATGGCACCTAAAAATAGGTGGTGATTTTCAGCTTGGGTTTTGTTTTGTTTTATTTTGTTTTGTTTTTAAATAAGTTTCTTGGGCATCTCTTTGTCAAAGATTAGCTTCATGGGTGAATGAATTTATTTCTGGGTTCTCAGATACCAGAAACTGGGGTTCCATTGGTCTATCTGTCACTCTACCAGGACCATATTTGAGGTTTTTTTAGCTTAAAATTAATATTTATTTGTACAGTTATTTATATACCTGTCTGAAGCTTTGTCTGACATACTTTGGGCATGTTGCAAGGAGGGACTGGTCCTTGGAGAGGGACATCATGTTTGGGAGAGTGGAGGGACAGCACAGGAGAGGAAGACCCTTGATGAGATGGATCGATTCTGTGAGTGGAGTGGTGGGAATGAGTGTGTTTGAGACAGCGAGGTTGGCACAGGATAGAACGGCATTTAGGGCTCTTGTACATAGGGTAGCTATGAGTTGCAAACGACTCGATGGCACATAACAACAGCAACAAGTTACTATCCTTTGGAAGCAAGAGTGGCATTCACTTTCTTAACAACATGCCTCTGGAAACTATGAACTTTGAGAAATTATGATAGTTATAACAAGGCTTCAGATCTTTTGTTCATAGGGTCACTATGAGCCATGCTCACTCAACTCAATGGCAATCAAAAACAACAGAATACCATGATCCTACTTGAACACAATTGGAGAGTTCTCTATTTAAAAATACCCAATGAAAGTATTAGTTAAAATTGTGCCATCACCACTGATTATGAGACACTGACATTCATTCTTAAAAAACTGGAACTTATTGGCCTTGAGTTGGCTCTGACATATAGCAACCTCTATCCTGTCTCTGAGGTTGGAAGTTTCAATAGGAGGAGATTGTCTATCTTTCTCCCATGAAGCCACCGTTGGATTCGAGCTTCTGGAATAGTAACAAAACTTGCTAAAGACTAAGCCCCTAGAACTCTGACTTTGATCAGAAGTGTGCATTTGAAGGGAAGTGGGGACCACAGATTCAACATCCCCTCCCTCAAGGATTACCTCTTTTGAAGCAGGTTATTCCACCTTGTTAGCATCTCTGGGGTCAAAGCCTCTTCGATCTTCTCCATTTTCCCTTGGTCTGGAAGAATGAAAAAAGCCGCAGCATCCCCTTCGTAGTTCATCTTCAGCACTGAGCAGGGTAGGTATCTGTCATTGAGATACCAGTGGTGATGGTTGCCCTGCCACATCATGGGCACCTGGACAGTTGTGTGCTCGTCCACATGGAAGTTTTGGGTAGTGGTCTTGGATTGAACGAACGCCTTCTCCCATACAGCTGGGGGAAGAGTGAAAAAAGATTGAGGATCATGGAGCTGAAGCACATCAGAGGATGACTTTTTTGCTGTCCGGAAGTCATCCAAGGCCATTTCATATCTAGTTTTATTATTCCATCAGTGTGTATCACTCAGATAAGAATAAAACTAGGGACTGGATTCCTTGGAGCCTGTATACATTTTGCAGTGGAGATACCTAAGAATGTTTGCTGATGTGGTAGTAGTTTCTACAATAGAGAGAGAGGGATGATAGTGGAAAAAGGGAATAATTGTTGGGTCAGAACCCTTGAAAAAGAGAAGATAACAAAGGGTAGGTAGGGAGATCTTCAATGAGTGTAAGGTCACTTCCTTGTTGATGGGAAGAATTGGAGTGACTGAGCTTGGATACCCAAATACAGAACGTGAGTTTATTTAGAGGTGCAAGGATATGAGAATAACCAATTAACTGACTGCTCAATGATATATGTAGCAAATTTATCATGAGAAAGGAGGATGTAAAAGAAGACATTGTTCTTCTTTTAGAAAAGTAAAAGAAAAATTCTTTCATTGTTATATAATCTTCCCTCCGCCGCCCCCCCCCCCCAATTCCATTCTACTATGCAACCTTCATTCTGGACTTCTGTCATAACAATAATACCTAATCATATATCACTTTCATATATACTTGGACCAGGAGGCAGTCATCAGAACAGAGCAAGGGAACACTTCATGGTTCAAAATTGAGAAGGGCATATGCCAGGGATGCATCCTATCTCCATACCTTTTCAACCTATATGCAGAACAGATTATCCGGGAGGCTGGGCTCTATGAGGAGAAATGTGGGGTCAAGATTGGTGGACGATCTATCAGCAATCTGTGTTATGCAGATGACACAACCCTGCTCGCTGAAACTGAAGAGGGCCTGAAGCACCTGCTGCAGAGGGTCAAGGACTGCAGCTTCCAATATGGATTGAGGCTCAATGTCAAGAAGACAAAGATTCTCACCACTGGGCCAACTGGCAGCATCAGGATGGATGGTGAAGAGATTGAGATTGTTCACAACTTTAGTTTGCTTGGCTCCACAGTCAACACTCTTGGAACCAGCAGCCAGGAAATTAAAAGGTGCATTGCCATGGGAAAGTCTGCTGTTAGGGACCTCTCCAAAGTACTGAAGAGCAATGGTGTCACTCTGGAGACTAAGGTGCATCTGATACAGGCCATGGTCTTCGCAATCACTTGTTATGCATCAGGGAGTTGGACAATGACCAAGGAGGATAGAAGAAGAATTGATGCCTTTGAGCTGTGGTGCTGGAGAAGAGTATTGAGAATACCACGGACTGCTAGGAAAACAAACAGATTCTTCCTGGAAAGCGTTAAACTGGGTGGCTCCTTGGAGGCAAGAATTCTGAGGCTCCGTCTAACATACTTTGGACATGTTGTGAGGAGAGACTGGTCCTTGGAGAAAGACATTATGCTTGGGAGGGTGGAGGGATGGCGCAGGAGTGGAAGGCCCTCTATGAGGTGGATTGATTCAGTGACTGGGGTAATCGGGATGGAAGTGTCAGAGACAGTGCGATTGGCACAGGACAGAGCAGAGTTTAGGGCTGTTGTGCATAGGGTCGCTATGAGTCGCAAGCGACTCGACGGCACATAACAACAAATATCACTTTAAATCAGTTCTCTCATCTGTTTCAATGCAGTATACATAATTTATCCCATCTTTATCAGTCTCCCTCCAACCCCGATGTCAGTCCCGTTTTACAACAGTGAACCTATGCAATATTTGTCCTTTTGTGACTGAGATATTTCACTCAGCATAAAGAAGAGTGAACTGGGGGGGAGGGATGGGCAGGGAGAATAATGCAACAATGAATGAATGGAAAATCAGTCTCTGTAAACGTTCATTAAAATTAATGATAATTTTTTTTTCTTTTATTATTATTTTGTGTGCATGTACCGTCAAATCAGATCTGACTGGTACAGGAGGATATTGCGCCTCCTTCTCCGGCAGAGCATCTGGTGGATTCGAACTGATAATTTTTTTTTAAAGACACTGTTAACAGTTGTTTGAAAGAGTTAAAAAAGAAGACCCCAGAGTCTATAGGTAGGTTTGGTGGACTGTGTGGAGTGACCTATGAAGATCCATGTTGACACATTTAAATGAGAGAATCTTCATATTAAGGTCTTTTTCTTCAACCATATTTAGCTTCTGAGCACAGGTATGAATGAACTTGATCATTGTTGTAAAATGCTATCAAGTCGACTGCGCCTCATAATGACTCTACTGACAATGGCTCTGAACCTCGCCCTAGCAGGTACCAGCCCCATCATTTCTCACGTACTTGAGCCCATTGATACTGTCCTTCTTGTCGAGCGAGTCTTTCTCTCTTTTGTTGACCTTCAACTTTTCTAGCATGTTGTCCTTTTCCAAGGACTGGCTCCTCTTGAAAAAAATGCCTGAAGGATGTGAGACAAAGTTTCACCATCCTTTACACCATCCTCTAAAGAGCAGCCCGGCTGCACTTTCTCCAAGAAATATTTGTTTGTTCTTTTGGCATCCCGTGGGATATTCAGTACTCTTCTCCAACACCTCAACTCAAAGACATGACATACATTCTTCTTGTCATCTTTAGTCACTGCCCAACTTTCAGAAACATAGCAAGTAATTGAAAAGGCCGTGGTTTGGATCAGGTGCTCTTTAGTCTTTAAAATTACATCACTCCTCTTTAGCACTTTGGAGATGTCCTTGATAGCAGATTTTTCTAATGTAACATGCCTTTTGATTTCTTGACTGCTGGTATCAAACTTGGTGATTGTGGATCTAACTAAGGTGAACTTGTAGACAACTTCAATTGTTTTTCCATTAATCACAATGATGTTGCCTATTGATCCATTGGTGAGGATATTTACTTTATTGATATTGAGATGTAATGCATATTGAAGACCGTCTTCGATCTTCTTTAGCAAGCATTTCAAGCACTTTTTATTTTCAGCAAGCAAGGTTGCCTCATATGCATAATGTAGATTGTTAAGGAATCTTCCTCTCATTCTGATGCTACTCTTTTCCCCATAAAGTTCAGCTTCTCAAATGATTTGCTCATCATACAGATTGGGTAGTTAGGGAGAAAAGATACAGCCCTGACACACAAATCCTTGGAAAGGATTTAATGTAAGAACTGGATCATTAGTTCATTTTAAGTGAAGCTTATCTACATCTCTGGATATATATATACACATATTTTTTAATCTCTACATTCAGTTTTGGGTAGAGAATAGATAAAATAGGTTATCCAGATTATCAGCTCATTTGAAGTTTTGCTAAATATATAGGACAAGAGAGAAAGCTAAGGTGGTCTAGTGTGTTTTCAAGGAAGTGATTATAAAGATGGTTCATTGATCCTATTAATATTACTTGAATCCACAATCAGCACCCTTGGTATCAGAGTCAGAAGATGAGGAGATGTATTGCTTTGGGAAATCCTGCTATCAGGGACCTTTACAAATTACTGAAGGGCAATAAAGCCAGTTTGAAGACTCAAGTGCACCTGATTCAGGCCAAGTTCTTTTCAATCACTTGCTATGTATCTGAAAATGAAAAATGGTAACAGAAGAAGAATTGATGCCTTTGAGTAGTGGTGTTAGAAAAGAGTATTGAATATCTTACAGGATGCCAAAACAACAAACAGATATGTCTCGGAGAAAGTGCAGTCAGAATGTTCCTTGGAGGCAAAGATGGCAAAGCTTCATTTCTCAAAGTCTGGGCATATTGCTAAGAGAGGCTATTCTTTGGAAAGCGACATTATGCTTGGAAAAGCAGAGGCTCAGTAAAAAAGAGGAAGACCCTGAATGAGATGGCTTGATACAGCAACTGCAGCAATAGCCCCCAAGTGCTAGAGATGACAAGGATAGCACAAGACAGTACAGGGTTTAGATCTACTGTTTACAGGCTTGCTATGAGGAGTACTTGACTAGACAGTACTTAGCAGCAACCAAAAAAACAATTAACCCAATGCTGCAATAAAAAGGGAGTGAACAAAGGCGATGTATGTCTGGTGAGATAGTGGTTAATAGTGCAATTGGACTGAGATCTCCAGAAGGTCAGTAACTGCCCAGAAAGGTAAGCCCAGTGGCTAGTGTGGGCCCTGGGATTCCAGCTAGTGTCCTTCTAACTGGAAAGCTCATGTTAATGTTTCCTTTTCCCCTTCCTTCTTCCTCCTTTCCTTTCTTCCATCTCCCCATCCCTCCCTCCTTCCTAGTCAGTTTTCTTATGTTAATTCTTTCATTTCTTTCTCTCTATTCAGCTCTTCTTTCTTAATGATTTGAAAGTCTGAACACTTCAATTTCACACAGTCACAAGTATGTGACACTTATGTGAAATTCATTGCGGGTTTCTGTTTTTGTTGTTAGATGTTGCTGAGTATGCCCCATAGAGACCCTATGAACAACAGATCTGAACCCTGTTCTATCCTGTGCCAGCCTCATGCTTTCTGACACTAGAGAGTCCATTGCAACAGTCACTATATCAATCCATCTGGTTGAGTGTCTTTTTCTCCTTCGCCAACCCTCCACCCTTCCCAGCATCATGTTCCTCTCCAAGGACTAGCCCTTCCTAACAACATGCCCAAAGTATGTAGGCAAAGCCTCATCATTCTTGCCCCCAAAGAGCACTCTGGCTGTACCCTATGCGAGACATATTGGTTTGTTCTTTTGGCCATCCATGCGATATTCAGTGCTCTTCTCCAACACCACAGCTCAAAGGCATCAATTATTTTTCTGTCATCCTTGTTCATTGTCCAGCTCTCAGACACACAACAAGTGATCAGAAAGACCATGGCCTGAATCAGAGGCACCTTAGTCCTCAAACTGACATCATTACTCCTCAAGAATTTGGAGAGGCACTTTCCCAGTGCAATGTGTCTCCTGATTTCCTGACTGCTGGTACCAAGGATAATAATTGTGGATCTGAGCAAGATGAAGCTGTTGAAGCCTTTTTCCTCACCCATTATCATGTTGCCTACTGGCC